ACCTTCTTATCCCCTACGTAACTTTGTATCATTATACAGTACCTAACCTCTAACAAGATACGATGTCATTAAAAAATCTTGGTATCAAACAATTGTTTCGCATTAAGCTTACGAAATAAAATAAACAAGGCTTCGTCACGAATTTGTCTACAAGATCATAATTAGATAGTGTTTACGGGTTAATATATACCTTAAATTAGATTTAAATAATATATCTACATGTGTTTTTAGGATAAGATATAAAATCAGCGATTTATACTTAACGTCGATTTGTCTATAAAATGGCTCTTTTATTATATTACCAATACATAACCTCTGAATTTTATAAAGTCCTTCCGTAACCTACCAACATATACACAGTCCTTCGTAGAAAAGATATTGCGGGTAATTTTGCCAAAACTTACCAATTTAGGAGTTACTTCCTTTTACCAGCTCCACGTTGTGAACACTGCATACTATCTTGATGTTGCAAAATTTACCACACGGTCATGGGGACCTGGGGGAAAGTTGTATGGTCCAAATGGACGGACAATAATGCAACCAGTCGCACCGCTGGCTTGCCAAGAACTGGCTCTGCATGAGTCACGCAACAGAATCATTATACAATCAACCACAGGCAAATACCGAGCTGCATCAGCACGCTGTGCTTTGAAAACGTGTCATGACAGATGCTTAAAATAAGACTGTAGAGAGACTATTAAGAAAACTTTAATAACTACTCCGCTATTAGAGCAGCTGATATCCATTCAACTCTCCAATATATAATTTTTTTTTATTTTAATTCTTTAAGATACACACCGAGTTCACAAAGGCCGGTTATTGTAACCTGTCTACGCCATTTCAGTCCACTTCACACTTTAACAACATATTTCTGTTATATTCATTTTAATATTATCCTCCCAACTACTCCTAGGCCTTCCACGAGCGTTTCTAACCTAATTTTTAAGGAACTTGTTTTCCCTCCAATTACGTTAAAAGTCATCCGCATCTATCACTTTTAAATACGATTGAAAATAGTGCGCGAAGAGTGCTCATAAAGAAACTCCTTGTTTGCGACGTCTTAACTTCTGTTATTCAATTCAATTCAATTCAATTCATTTATTTAGCCACTCTTAAAGATAAATACACTCCGTGGAACTTTTCTATAACATTCACACTTAGAAAGTTACGAAATTTTAGACCTTGTAAAATTATCTTATATATAAAATTGAAATTATTTGTGGTTATGTGTGCATGTATGTTCCTTCATAGTTCGAGAAGTGTTGCAACTCAGCATGCTTCAGCCTTGAAACTAGGAAAAAGATTTCAGGAAGGTAAAACTACGAAGAAGTGTACTGGGTTCGTGTTCCGTTCAAGATGGTGTCTCAAATATTTGCGCTTCGATACGCGAAACAGAAAAAAACTAGGCACGAAGCCAAAAATTGTTTCGCCGAGGCAATACATAAAATAGCGTGTTATAAAACTTTACGCGGGGCCTTGAATTCCTTTGTCGGTGGGTGTAATAAATTCATGTATTTGTAGCTAGAAAAGTATTTTTTTTTTGCATTCATATATGTGGTAAAATTTGGACACCGAAACCTCGCTAAATGCATTAATACTAAAACGATCCTGAGGGAAATGGGACTTATTGATGGGAACTGCTTTTGATTTAGCAGAACATCGATCCACATTCCAGGTTTCTATAGATCGTAGTTCGTGACATCTCAAGGGATATCTCTCACAGACAGTTATTACGTAATACGAAGGTAACACATTAAAGGAATTAAAGATTAATACGCACTTCCATTGTTAATTTCAGAATTCACGATTGGTCATTCTGTTGCTATTAGCAGAATATGACTAAAAAGATAGTAGCAAAGTTTAATCTGAAGAGAACTGCATTTACCGCTAAAAATCAATGCCATTTACGAACAAGTAAGTTCGGTTCCTTTAATTTGCATTTGTAAACTGAGTACTTTGTTCAAGTGGTTCTTACCAATCGATTACACTATAAGATATTAAAATTGGAAGGGAAATTTTGTACCGAGCTTCAGGCCTCATTGCAAGAAAGTTTTCATAAAACCAAGACGGAACAATGAAAATCCTGGTGAGTTACCAGTAAGCATTATATTTTGAATACGCTGCATATTATATATACGTACTTCATTTATTTGTGGCTTAGTTATTTAATGACACTATCAGTAACTCAGATTATATAACGTTCAATGATAGGACGGTTAATGAATGATCACTGCATTTTTAATTGATATGAATTGATATGGTAGGAAATAACGATGGTCTAATTTAAAGTAGGCTACGATCCCGACATTTTTAATTGATATGGTAGGAATTAACGATGGTCTAACTTAAAGTAGGCTACGATCCCGACATTTTCCTGGCGGGGCTGGGAAAGAAAACAGTGAAAATGGACGACCTCTGGACCGAGATTTAAAACCGGGACCTACGGAAATACGAAGCAGAAATTCTAACCACTCTACCACGAAATTCCGCATGTGTGTGAAATATGATTTTTTTTATACGTTCGGCTCAGTTTCAGTGGTTATTTGTATCAAACGCCCGAATTTAATAGAGGCATTCTTCGTACACCAGATGAATGCCACAATGATAAGGATGCCCGAGTAATGAGTGTGCAGTCATTTGATACGCGAGGTTCTATCGGACATAGCAAATGCCCGTGAGATTGTGGCCTGCGGAGTTTTGAAGCCGTGTAGTCTTATACGTGGTTACCAAAGTTTCGGAGGAAATTATCATCATCTTCAGAACTAAATATAAAGGCGATACTTTCTTCCCAAACGTCAGTTGAAACCAACAAAACCCAGAAAACCACAATCTCATTGAAGACGAAGCTCGTATAAATAATATATAAGAATTCAATCGGTACTTAAAATGAATATGCAATTCTTTACCATTAAAAAGATGTTTGTTAACGCTGCTTAAGGAAATAAGGTAATGAAGAGTTACTGGCTGTTGAATCAGGTCTGCATGTATGTTCGTTTGTGTATAAACAGTTCCGTGCATTACGGACGGAAGGCGTCTGTCTCGCTGTTACAGACCCACCTCTGTCTTCTGGCGCTGACAGAACTTTACGCAGACAACGTCGACTTGTACGAAGACGAAGACGTGCTTCTGGAGTGCACCACGGAGACCTCCAAGCGGTACTTCCCCTCTGCAGACTCCCTCCTCTTTTCCAAATCAATAACAAACCTTACTTCTAATCCCTCCTTTCCGACAGTTACTTATAACTGGATAAAACGTAAATTCTACCAGAAGATCGGAAGGAACGGTTGCATAATCGATAAGGAGGTAGAATATTTGCACTTTGACACACAAAACAGAGAACAACAAATAAGAATTATGTCACACATTTTACTGGAGCTACAGAATTTTTCCAAGGCTCTTTATAACATGGAAAATGTATTAGATTTTGAAAACCGCATTCTTAAAAATCTGAACCGAATATGTCGATGGTCGATAGTAATTTCACCTTATAAGGACTCCCTTTCTGACGTCACTAGTGAATTGTTCGGTGGCTTTATCTTAGTGACTCGCTTCGAGAACGAAGATTCTTTCGCTGTCCTCAGAGATCAAAGCTACCAGGTGGATGTGCTCGATCGGTCTGGCCTTCTAAACAGACTCGTCCCCACGCTCGTTGTGGTGACAGGCGACGCAGGGACCAGAGACCTGGTTTATGATGTGCTTCACTATTTCAGCGACAACCAAATTCTTAACGTCACACTTCTTATTCGTGATAACGTGTCTGAAGCTGTAAACTTGTTCACATGGTCGCCATATCAGTCACCTTCGGGCCAGTGCGGACGTCTCAAAGAAGTTGTCCTATTTGATTCCTGGATACCGAGCCCGAACGGAGGAAGGTTCCTTCAAAACTCTAAATTTCATTCAAATACACAAATAAATATTAACGGATGTTACATTGAGATATTCGGGTATGAGCAACCCCCGTTTTTGATTTTCGAAGACAATGAAAAAGGTGAAGACATATCCATGAAAGGATTATTCGTGGAGATGCTACGATACGTAGCAAAACAAATGAATATGTCACTTATATCGGATTCAGATGAGAGTAAAGAATTTTACGTCGAAGCTGATGTGCATGTCAGAAGGGTGTTGCCTTTTTTCCAATACAAGACCGCGACTTTCTACACCCTCACATATGCCTGGTACGTTCCGCTTGCAGAAACCTACCCACGTTGGGCAAGTATGTCCAGGGTCTTTAGTACGACCACTTGGCTCATTGGTTTCCTGTTGATCCTTGTGGCATCTTTTGTGCTCCGGCTTACAGCTGCGATCTCAAGCGTCGAGGAACCTCCGAAGTACCAGAGCGTTGTGCAATGTTTGACTAACGCATGGTCTGCTCTTTTGTGTATTGGTGTTGGCGAGATGCCTCGCAGCCTCTCTCTTCGCTCAGTCTTCTTGTCGTGGATCATTTACTGTTTGTGCGTCAACACGGTGTTCCAGATGTACATCACGAGCTACCTTGTCGATCCTGGTTTCCAGCACCAGGTAGACAGTTTTGAAGAACTTGAGGAATCGCAGTATGAACTCCTTTTTAACACTTATGACACACTGTTGCTGTATCTGGAGAAGAGAAGGATGCCTATTAAGCTTTTAAGGAGATCTACAGATTCGATGTTGTTTCTTATGCAGACGCCTACGGTTGCCATGTTTTATGATGCGGATTTGTTAAACTACGATTACGGTCGTCTGTGCGGTGGGACTGCAACGTACGTGTTTTACAAGTTTCGAGAGGAACAATTACAGATCCACGTCAGTATGGTTTTGAGTAACAACTACATCCTGAATCGAATCAATGAAATCATACATCACCTGGTGCAAGCGGGTATCCCCGACAAGATAATGAGGGATCTCACTGACCCTATGGGACAACGGAAAGTAACCCGGATGGTTGTAGACCTGGCAGAAGAGTACTCGTCTCTGTCTCTTTCACATTTTGTTTCACCATTTGCTCTACTCTTACTGGGGCACGAACTGAGTCTCTCCGTCTTCATGTGCGAGTCTGCGTATCACTGGATCCAGGACAGGAGGGCAAAATAGATCTCTTACCCTGAAAAAAATACAAGATCAAGATGATCATAGACTTGGATCACTTCAGCACCTGCCTGGTTGTAGTTGTGTATGTTCACACGATTTGCGTTGTTATTTGAAGGAAACATTTCATGATCGTCCATTCCTCCACCCAAGAATTACTCCCGAATACAGCTTACAATAAGTCAAATAAAATAGCAGCCTCTACACTGACAACTAACAGCAATAGAAGAGGGTCTACTGAGAAGAAAAATAAATGTTGGACATTCTTTACTGTCTGCGGCATATCAGATTTACACAATGTTTTTGGAGACAACTCTGCTGCTGTATTCAGGTGACGCTGTAATCTCTAAGACTTTTTACTTTTTGTACTTATAATAACAGAAGAGTAGGCTCAAACCTGGGATCTTTTGAATACTACGCTAATACACTAACCGCTGAAACAACAGGTATTAGCCAGCATAACTGAAAATTCTAAAATAAGTTATTCAGCGGTAATCATTCATAATCTTCTCACCAAATTTTAAGTCAAATCTCGGCTGACACCAGGTGCGTAAGCTTGTTGACAAAACGAACACTGAATCAACAAACTTTAAATTACATCACACAAATGACAAAGGGCAGGAAAGATAAGAATGCAAAATACAAACATACTTTTATTTGTGATCTGCATCACAATATTTTACCGCTAAAAATAAATCTTATCTTGCTAAACCACAACACATAAACAACGGCTAGATCCATTACAACTCAAAACATTCTTTATGTCAATATACACAGTAACAGAATTGTAATAAACTTTAGTTCTTTCCGACTGTAATTCATGACTAGATATTATGAAACGACAACATATCAATATATAATTTCACAAAATACCCTTACAAATTTAAAAATGTATCATTCAAAGGCCTCTAAATAATTATGAACGTTTATCAGCACAACAAATATCAAACTGCAACTCACATTCAAACCTCAGTCACATGACTAAATAAGAATAGTTAATTACTTAAGCCAAAATAATTGAAGGAATTCTGTCTGTAACGATACTATAAGCGAAGACATGTGACGACATTTTGCATTTGTAGAGATTTGTTGATAAATGTAAATTATATCCAAATTGGAGTACATGTACCACTTACAATAAAGTTAAATATACATCTTGATATCATTCTATAAACATAGAGCACATCATAAGATGCACCATCAGTCAAAAGTTGCCTTTTAATAAATTACAAACGGGTGTGAGTCCGAAGAACGCTGTCTTCCGGGCTGTTGCGCCGTGTAGTCTGGTAGAAGTTTGCAGACGTTTCAGAGGTCGGCAAACTTCTTCCAGACTACACGGCGATACAACCCAGAAGACAGCCATCTTCGGACTCATCGCCATGAAAACCTCAAATCCTACGTAAGTGTGAGAATTTTTATACAGCGTTGAATAGACATTTTTAATCTTAAATGTCCTCATGGCATTCCCTTCTGCAAACTTCAATGCATTTGTATCTATGTGAGGGGTACAGAATGATATCCATTGATACAAAATGAATTATCAAGCATAAACAACAAATCAGGCATTTCATAACAACTATATCAGATGCCTCAACAAACATAATGCAAAACACGTTAAAGATAGATTTGCTTACCATTAAACAAAATAGTAATTTATGACACATGTACAAAAAACACATTATCACATTATAGCCACGGCCAAAATGATTGGAAAACAGCGTTCTCCACATCCCCAATTCAAATCCTTGACAGATGTGAATAGAAACACCTTTACTGAGCTCCAATTAAGGATTAAACCTAAGACCCTCTACATAAGAACCTAATGTTTTACCTGAAGACCACTAGGTATCCACCACACACATAAATCCATCAACATCCACGGATCTGAGACGTAAAGGAGGTCAGACAGACGGATTCTCTGCGCAGCAACCGGCGGCGCTGTTGAGATTGTGCCTGTGTGATCACATGACCCACGATTCGGGAGTTTTGTATCAGTCGCGGAGATTCAGTATGTTTAGTGGTTGCAATGAGTATTTTATTAGCGCTGCGTTTTGTGTCTTTTGAAAAGACGTTTTCTCAGAAGCAGTGACTGGTGTTTGGACTTTGGTCTTTCTATATGACCCAGAAACAAAATGTCACAGAAAAGTCCGGAGTCTTCGTACGTGAAAAAAATGTGAAAGTCAAAATTCTTTTTCTTCTAGCAACAATGATGAAAAGCCCTTTCAATTTCTTGCAGTTTTTCCATCTCTTCAAGTTTTCCAGCACCTGGATGAACCATCTTGTTCTGGGACATCCCAGGGGTCTATTCCCTATAAACTTAAATTCTAATGTCCTTATTAGTACTCATCATTTTAATATGGCTAAACTATTGTAGTTGTTTCTCTTTTAACAAATGCTAATAAACTGTGGATTCCAATTTCTATGAGTTCTAGTTCTATTAATCTTTCTTGTGAATGTATAAATCATGTTAATCTGATTATTCAGTAAAAAGGGAATCATCCATCAGTGAACAACATTCATCATTTGGAACGTTTATGACAGCACATTAACTGAAAAGTACCGAACTCTTGGCTAGACAAGTAGATTTTGCATCGTAGCAACGCATCTTCCAACACGGGACACACAATACGGCAATTTTTGGTCAAAAAACAAACACCAGTGTTGAGATATCCACCAAATTTTTCTGCTTTGCTTCCCTTTTAATGTTCCCAAAATTAAAATCTCCTTTAACAGGTCTCATTTTGAATCAGAACCACGTAAAAGTGCCTTTAAAAAATGACTTCCCGCAATATTATCTAGAGAGGCACATGGACTAGAATGTGTATATTTGTTAGAAAATGAGTATTTCAATGTCACCATGCACTACTACAAGTTAGTGATGAAATATCTTTTACGCAGTCAATCTGTTTATGTGAACATAAGAGGATATTTCCATATTTCTATGTTCACTTGCTGCGTGTACTGACCACAATGTCGTCGATAATGTCTCTAGTGGCTCTGTAAGCCAGTCTCTCCTTATCGGGATATTGTGTTGGCAAATTTGGAGAATGGAGGTTCACTTTAGCAGGAAATCGCATCCCAGCTACGTCCACCTCGTATGACCCTGTGGTTACAAATTCTGGTGTCACCACTTGGGTTGTTCCTTTATCATCAAAGTTTTGGACAAACCCCAGACAAACCTGTAACAGTATATGATTAATTCTTATCTAAAATGCAGACATTATATAGTTATTACATAAGGGCTTGAAAACAGGCAGTTGTGGTCTATTTGGAGGCATTTCCCATTACAAACTGGGGAAAACCACAAGATTTTTCACTCAGGACAGTCGCTAATCTAGCCCAAATTTGAAATGTATGGAACACCTATCCAAAAAAAGGCATAACCCAGAAGACCACAATTCAGATTTTCTGTGTGGTTCTATAACAACCTCAAATCTTAATAGCTTTCGAAATTACAGAAGGCTAAAGATATCACACGCCAATATAACACTACAGACCTTTCTTCTCATGCATAATACAAAGCACAGACCAAATAATGAATCATAATAATGTATCGAAAGAATTTGGGAACAAATTGATGCCATGAAATTATATGTCCAAAAATGTATCTTAAATAACATAGAATATTTAACAAAGTTTGACGCATAAGAATACATAAGCATACATATTAGATGTAATCTTCTGGGTTGTGTAGCCAGTTGGTCTTGTAGGTGGTTATCAACATTCTGGAGGAATGCATCATCTCCATCTTCATGGTGAACATCAGGCTCACTTTCCCCCTAAAGACAGAGGTGATACATTCCTCCAAAATGCTGGTAACTGCCTACAGGACCACATGACGTCAAAACCTGTAAGACCGCAATCAATATCATAGACCTCAAATCTCGCAAGGATACATGATGAGAGATCAGTGAAGGGCAACAAACCTGTTTCTTGAACGTAAAACCATAGCCTGTCGTAGTGGTGGCACCAACATACTTTCCATTCCTGTAGATTGGTTCACCACCCCATGGCCACAGATCTATCTCATGATCATGATCTTGAAGAATCAACTGCACGTACATTCGTTTCACACCCTCATCACGTTGCTTCATCAAAGCGTTACGTCCAATGAAGTCCATGTTTTTCTACATACACAACAGACAACATGAGTAATGTGGTCATTTTGGGAACATGCTAGAGTACAACCTGCTAAATAAATTATCGCATCACTGAACGCATATACGGAAAAACTTCTTTTTTCCAAAACTTGTATGTTTTTGGTGCATGCCTCCAGTTGAAGTTACATTTGTGAACCAGGGTTCCACTGAACAAGAAAGGTTACATGAGCAACCATCAATGGTTCGATACAATATTTTAGATTAAAAAAATGTTCTGTTAATTAAAGGCTGATCTAGTCTTTCTGTCATCTGTACACCTGGCAAGATGCAACATTCTCCTATTTGCAGCAAAGACTGGTCTAACATGGGTTCTGAACCAATCTGTGGGTCTGGTATTCCCACTTTCAAAGCATTAACTCTGAAGCTAAAGACTGACATCAGCAAGCAGAAAAATCTGGACCTAGCTGACCTTGTAACACACACTCTTTACTACCAGTCTTCTTATTCTTCTTCTTATATGGCTCTCCAGTCCATATTTGGTCCATGGCCTCCTCAATTCTCCTCTTCCATTCGGTCTTCTGTTAGGTCCATCTGTCCGAGACTTTGATTGAGGTTTCGAAACATCTTTACTACCAGTCAACCTTACTAATTCTCTTTATTAACAAATAAAATGTTACTCGAGTCACAACATAATATTTATTGATGAGCAAACGTACATCAAATTTGACTCGCCAGGAGCGTCCACACTCTAGAGGCGTAGTGGTCGTGTCCAAGTCTTGGCCCCAAAAGGCAAAAAACCGTTCCACTCGAAGTGCCCGCATGGCGTAGTAGCCTGCATGTTGAATGCCATATTTCTGTCCTACTTCTATCAGCTGTGTGTATACATGCAAAGCAAACTGAAAAGAAACCACAATGCGTCACCTCATCAGGCAGTATGACTGATGACTCATTAATGCGTTACTTTACATTCTCATAGCAACTTTAGAGATTATTATAACAAGGCCTTTTTATCTTTTTTCCTTCTTCTTCACTTTTAGCTTTAAATATCCTGCCACACAAGTTTCAATAATTTATGCCTTGCATAAATCACTATATGTCATTCGCACATACCTCATTTGGAATATACAGGACATAACCAAGTTCTCCAGTATGAGTGATATTCATTGCTCGAATTCCATTTGCTAAACCAACGTCCAGTTCCTGAAAATTAACAGTTTGCAAATAAGTTTGTTTTCTTACTATACTGATTATGACGTTTCACCATTACAGCTGACATACTTTGGCACATACAGGACAGAAGTAATTATTAATTTCCTTACAGCATGGTGGACTATAGGTGCTGAGACAACAAAGAATACTAATATTTATAAGCCCAATGTATCCTAGTAGAAAGTGTAAACTGTATAATGTTAAATCCTTTGTGTCATGTGGTGGCATGCCGAATTGCACTTACATTAATAAAATGTAATTTAATCAAGCTGAAAATGTCTACAGAGAATATTTAAGTCTGGTATGATGGTAAGGTAAAGGTTAACTTGTGTTAACATACAAAGGTTCTACCAGCAAAATTAATTAAGCAAGAATATATAATCTAAAATAGCTAACAGGAAATAATCGGAGGCAACTGAACAGGATCCCATAACTGAGAGATGTAAAGCAACATTAGTGTCATAAAAAATTTGTAGATTAAGAATGGAAACGAAATACAATCACTTTGACCATGGCTCAACACAAAATAACATTATTCTCCTTCTTTTTCTGGTTTAACAATGTTTTCTACATTTTCCGGTACCCTTTACAGGTCCCCAACTTTTTTTTTCAGTTGGCTTGATCCAGGACTCCTTGGACGAGCGGTCGGCCCGTCACAAGGCCTCTACCTGTACATAGGACAGCACAACACAGAAGAACATCCATTGCATGAGTGGAATTCGAACCCACGGTCCCCGCGACAAAGCGGCACAAGACCCACGCCTCAGACCGCGCGGCCACTGCGGACCCCGAAAATAGCATTATTAAGAATGAGAAATGGAAGTTCTCTTAAGTTGGTCCATTCTAACCACATAATGGGACAACCACTGGTAGCAGAAGAGGAGACAGCACAGCTATTTAGTCCAACAGTGGATACAACAATGCTTTCAAACAAAACACTGACAATTAAGCTTAAAAAAATATAAACATTTAGTGAAGTTAAATAAAAATGTATAAATACTGAACCTTAAATGTAAAAAAGGGGAAAGACTTTGGACTGAGATCTGTGTCTGTGAGTTCAGACAAGAAGACCCTGGAGAATGGACCCATCACACAGATCGCTGTATACATAGAAGTCACATCTGACAATGAAACTGAGCCATCAGTAGGGAGGTGTCTCTGGATCCACGCCTTGCATCGTGTCTGTTGAATGGTAGGTGCTATCATCATATAACTGCAATAAAACATGCACAAATCACTCAAAGAGAAATGAAGATACAAAAACACCAGAACATCAGGTAATGATCCATAAGCACATACGACAAAAATTTTGTTCCTGCTGTCAGCGATCTAGTAGAACAAGGATGGGCAAATAGCAAATCATAGGCCACACTGAAATCAAGAAGTGTGTTCTTCTAATTTAAATTACGATTAACCTTCCAGTTTGGTAGAAGGAGGGGTACCAATACGAAATGTAACAATTAAATTGAGATCAGGCAGTGTTGTAATCTCTTAATCCCTAGCTAACTTTACGGTTCAACATGACTACTGCCAAAGCAAATTATTGGACACTAAGCACAAAATAAAATACTGCAATGCAATAGAAACTCTGCAACACATGACAGAGTTACAGAACCCCACATAATAATGTGTTACTTCTAAAATGCTATGGTACAGATCAATGCTCATGCTCACTGATTTTCTGCAATTCTTGCCAGGCTGCAGTCATTTTCATAACCACCATTCCTGTTCTGCATTCCAGTATGAATTATTCCTCCAACAGGTATATTCACATCATTCGAGCATAAGTACTGTAAGCTGTCAACAACCTCTGTTCCTTTGGACTGAAACAAAAATACAAATGCACTCCTGAGGAGACACATTTCATGTGACTATAAAAAAGTTTATCACAGTAAATGAATAAATAAATGAATACATAAAAATGCACCAGCCATCAGCCCGTAAAACCAAAATAAGGTTAGTATTTGTAACATTCCAAAATGCTCTCACAATGGCAGAACAAAGTTCTTCATCCGAAGAACTGTGGTAATTCTTCAACATTGAGAGTAACAGAAATCACAGTGCCAGAGAAGAACAATAAGAAATGTTGAAAAACTGTTCGCTGATATCCACTGCAGTCTTTTGCAGTTTGAGAAGTGTGTAGCCTTGCATTATCACAGTTAAACTCCTTGACACTCTGTACTGCACATCATTTGCCACGGACAGTTCTCCCTGAACCATTTGTTCTTTTTAAAAATTACTTTTCTTTTCTAACACTCCAATTCACATTCCTTTATCATTTCTTTGAAGGCAGCATCAGATTTAACCTCTCTTAAGACTAATGAATTATATGTTTGCTCAAGATATTCTTCTTCTGGGTTTTAGCACCGTGTACACTTGTCGGTAGACACCAATGTTTCAGAGAAACATAAAATCTCCATCTTCAGTGATGAAATGGTGATGCCGAGAAGTGGGGGGATTTTTATAGGGTCGGAGGAAGGGAAAGCCAAAGGAATGAGCCAAACAGGGACAAGGAATAAGATGGATAAAGTGTGGGGCCAATAGGGAGTCTCCAAGCAGACATCAGAGAGGGAAAGGCTAGATGGAGAGTAGGTAGAGAAGAAGTCAATGAGAAACCCAGAAGATCATCATCCTCAAATCTCACATAAACATTTTCTCAGTTTGAAAATCTTCCATTTCCAAAATCAGAGCATAAAAACACTCACAATACATCCATAATGAAACATGTAATTTGGGTTGCACTATGTAGGATCATACATACCCAGAAATCAATTTTGGTGAAAGATGAATAGTCACTGAGGCCAACTTGTTCCCGACATGCTGAATATTCATTACGGACAAATTCAAACCATGGAGGTTTGCCATACGTATTTGTATATGCTATTCTGTATGGATGAAGCCCATTCTTTGTATCAGAATCATTCCCTGCCCAAACAAATAACAAAAACAGACAATAAATATAATAATCTGACACTAGCTAATTTCTGAATATAACTTACAAATAAGTTAATAAATGTGCATGGTGTAACAATTCTGGCATGTATTCCAAAATCTGATCCTTGGCTTCCGTGAATGACAAGAGTTGTAGTCAACGACCTTCAACCCCACACAGTTGTACCTACATTCCCACCAGCAGCTCCAAAGTCTCATTTTCCATAATGAAAGCAGAGGATTTTAAAAAAAGGACTTTCCTTTACAATTCAATAGTAATTACAGGATTTGCATGGTGGTTGTATTTGAATCACCAGGTGCAAAGATAGATTTAATTATTTTTATTTATTGCAACAAACTCTGATCAACTTTTTCTAATAATTCAGAGAAAAATCAAGAAAACTGAAATTCGTTAAGCTACAATGAATTGCTAGGATATTAGTGGTAAAATGACATGTTCTTACTTGAAAATATATTTACCTATATAACGATAAAAACTGAAAAAGGTATTTATTCCCTTATGTAATGCAGACATTAAAACTGTCTGATCTACATTAAAATCTCAACATCTGTTCATAAACTTCTACAGTATCACATTTCATCAAAATTGGTTTATCGGTACTTGACAGAAACAGACAGATAGAAGGGGTGATTTTCACAGGTCCTGCACAAGGTAGCAAACACACCTAAGAAGTCATGTTAATTTGCATAAAAGTCAGTAATAAACCCTAGCATACAAAGAAACATCTAATTAAACCTTTTTAACACAAAATAATTAATTTCACGTTCAGATGTCCTGTCTAAGTTACGTGCAAAGATTTTATGCATGTTCCTTCACAAATCGCAGACCCAGTCAAAACAAGCAGGTCCTACAAAATTACATACAAAAGCCAACAGATTTAATATTCTGTTGTGTACGCATGTATACATGCATTTCAGAGACCAACAAGCAGTTTCAGTCTTGGCTCTACCTAATTTCTTTAAGGGGGTGCCCTTAAAAAAATTAGTACAGTAAAGCAGGACATTTAGTTTTCTCCTACTGCATGTCTTTTAACTAAAGAAGGCGGGTAAATGATAAATTACAGCACTATGATTTCTCAGCATGAGAAATGAGTCAGTGGTGAATGCTCCAGTCAGATCAGTAATGCCCCTGGATTTCCTCGATAAAAGTAAATCCTGGCGATTCCTTTCCATTTTGTGTTAGCTCACACTTACTGCAGAAATATAATAAATTCAATATTAAGTTTCAGCTTCTATCTTAAACAAACATTGTTTTATGGTGGGATGTTCATTATCCCAACTAGTCGCAATACTGGCAACCAACTATTTTCCAAAATTGTCTATGTTAAGGACAATGTTCTTTCCTATGAAAAGACTCCTCACATTACTTACCATTAACCTTTATAAAACAGGAATAGGGGATTTAACCCCCATACTACAGGGCCACTGGACATGCTTTATTGAACATAGCCAGCTGAACTGCATGTAAGCCATGACACATGGTTGATAGAGGTTAACAGACAAATTCCTCCATAAATGTGCATATATTTTGATTAATTAATGTGTTTATTGCAATTTGGTGCCTGTCATTACATGATTTCTTATCAAGAAGTAGAAACATAGCCTACCTGATGCATAATCTGGGTCAAACCATGTTGGCCTCTCATAGCCCATAACTTGTCCAAACACTGCACCTGCCTCCCTCAGTTTTGGATATATAGGTGACATCCGTAAATTCCTTCCAGTTTGGAATTCATGGAAAGGATATATGATGGCATAATGCAGACCTGACATACACAGGATCACTCAACAAATTAAAGATAAACTGACAATTAATGTCAACTGAAATGTACCACTTACTGTGCCTATTATCCGAAAGCTGCATGTAAAGATGATGATGACATTAATGTATCTATTGTCTCCATGTGTAGAAAAAGAAGTAACTGGACTCACATCATTCACAAATTCTTAAATCTGAGATCTTTGATAATAATGTTTTCTTAAGAATAATATAGTATGGAGTATTACTGTGTTAATTCATTCTGGATAACTAATTTTTGCATAAATAAAAAGGCACAGTGCTGTTCTCAGAGCCAATCACAGCTGTGCCACCCTAATTAGACTTCAGAGTTTAAAAATTCACTCTAAATTGTACTCTTCAGCTACCTATGTTTATATAGCATGCACAAAATCTATCTTTATACTCAATAAAACAAGATTCATCAGTCCACTGCTCATAAAATATTCTGTTTTCAGTTTCTGATGTCCATTTCCCCATGTTACTTAGAGAAACTGAACAACTTTACATATAACATGCACATGTAATAGGCAGAGTATATCAAAGTTTTATGAATGATCAGTATCATAAAAACATTCCAACTATTGTCTGTGAGGCACGAGAGTAGACCTGACATCTTTGAGGGAGGTGGGGTAGAATTCTGTGCTACTAGCGGACCGAAATACACCCGCAGCTTATACAAGCCGTACAGCGTGAGCTAATGTACTGACTGACTGATAGAACGATGTTCTTAGGTAAGGAATACATCACCAGCGCATGCGCAGAGCCCACTTTTCCCTTGCCACACAAGCAACAGCCGACAAGGCCACGTCTACTCTCGTGGCTCAATTTTTGAAAAGGGTTAATTTTATCTGATAGTCAAAAAGCTTCAGAAAGCCAATTAATTAAGTATAAATACAGGTATTATAGTATATAAACAATATTTCTTTTAAAACTCACTATTAAATGCCTTATTTATATATGGAAAAAGCTTCTCTATGTTATTATGCTTATTCACTTTTAAACAACTAAGAACCATCACACTCACCAAGATTACCATTGAAACATATCTACTCAGAAATATAACCTCCGATTGCAACAAAGAATCAATAGAAAAATGTTTTCAGTTTGTTTTTTTCTGTTTTATGTGGCATGTTTCATGAATGCTACTACAGTGTAAACCAAAATTTAAGACGTACATGTATCACCATTTAAAGTATGATTACAAATTTTGACATATTTACTACTCAGCCCTTTCCCAACAATTTGAAATATTTCCTATAATGTGCTAAAATCATCTATACTTTTAGCATCATTTCTAATGGGCCAAAACCCCTGAGAAACATATCATCTAGCATCATTCTTAAAGTTATAAATAAAATCTGCTTTTACCAGGTACTTCTCTGACACGATCTCGGAGAAACTTGCGATTATTATGAAGACCAAGAAACCGACTAATATCAAGTTCATACATATCATATGATGAAGATCCATTGACAATTAACTCAGCTGTGGCCCTTCCTACACCACCAGCAGCTGATATGCCAATGGTCTTCATGCCTGCAGCCACGTAATAGTTTTGAATCTGGAACAAAAAGCAAAACAAAAGGATTCCAATTCTGCTCAAGCAAACAGTTCAATTTTACTTCTGAAGTTAAAATAATAAAATTGATATTAATAAAATTATTTTAAAGTGCACTATGTACATATATTCAAATTCTATATTCCTTGCTGAATAAACTGTTAACTTTCTTTGATTTTACAGTAATTTTTATAAAGTACTGCATTTGTGGAGTAAAACTCTTTAAACGTTCCCTATCTGCAGAGTAAGGTACCTATTACATGTCCTACATCATCAACTGCTACTATAAAGTTCTTGCACTTATCAATTTGACATCCAGGGTGAATAATTTTCAGCAATCAGTCTTCAGTGAAAAGGGCATTCTCAACGCTTTCACTCTTAGGGGGAAATAAATATGTCATCTGGCTATTTTTTGGCCATTAATAACCACAGAGTCAGCATTCTGACATTCCCTTATGTATGTATATCTTATTTCAGATCCAAGCTATAAAGAATACATGATAAATATTTAGGAAGTGATGTTTCCCATACCATACAAATTGGTGATGACAAATACTCAACATGCGATGCATTCTTGTGGCACAAATTATCCCTAAAAGTTTCTAACATGGACAGAGACGTGCATTTTATACAGCAATTTCTTTACCCGGACAATTGGGCATGCATCCAGGGTCCGAAAGGGTTTTTATGTGCGTGTGTGGATGGGGGTGGAGGCATTTTTGGGTGTGTGTGAGGGTGTTAGTGGGTGTGTGTGTACACAGGCACGCAAATATATATATATATATATTCCTATTTCAAATGTATATATCCGAAAGAAAAACTCACACACATGCATGAAGTTATTAAGCAGAAATAAATGGCTCTATGGATTTTAATTCAACTTTACAAGTTGTGAAGAACATCCCTAAGCACATACACAAAAATATATTAAGTTCAACTGATTAGTTACCCACAAAAATATTTTCCACTTTGAATATTAAAAGTAGGTATTATATTTATAATTCAAAAATACTTTTATCAGAACTGATATTGAATAAGATACCCATTTTCTCTAAATACGGTTCAAACCTGTCTTTTCCATTGGTTAGTGGTTCAGTGGATGCAAAAAGTATTACATCAGGTAAAACTCACCTCTGGTGCCTCACCAACTATCCACTTGCAGTCAGGTGAGAACGCTTCTGGTCCATTGCACAGCCGCTCAAGTACTGCATCACCAAGACTTGGAACTCGATGCAGCATCTGTTCAAGCAAGATGTGGAAGTGGTCCCAGTCTTCAGGGAGAATACGTTCTGCTGATGACTCTGCATGGAGTGCAAATGAATCATAAAAAATCTCTATAACAGCCAATTCCTGTTCACTGCTCAGCATATCTATCAAGTATTCTAAATCAACATTCATAGCTTTCACAAGGCTTTAAAACATCTTGACAAATTACTAGTAATATCTATGTGTTTTACAAATTAGACTAATGAGAAGATAAAATGTCTTCTGGGACAACCCGAATGACAGTCAGCTTCATACTTGCCACCATAAGAATCTGAAATGTTACGCAGAAAAATGTGTTTTTAACAGCACAATGCCTATAAGCTAAAGAAAACTTCTGCAATACAATCAATGTAAAATGGAGTACACATTCAAACGCAAATGTGCAGTCCAGCCCACTGCAATTGCCCATCATTCCTCATACCACTTTTGCCAACAATGCCATCAGCATAGCTGGGCTAACTAAGTCAATATATTACCTGACTATGGACCAGAACGACTGAAGCTCGATGCCTGACAGGGGTAAAGGATTTTTATTCTAGCCTCTGTGTCCAGACTGAAAATTGTCCCTCCTAACCTCCTATCCTATTGGTGGGCACAAGGCTGAACACTCACTCCCATACAGCGTGGAGGTTAAGAATGAGTAGGAGCTATATCTCCCCTCCCCACAAGAGCTTTGTTATGTGTCAACAGTACAGTAGTGCAGTATGACCACACCAGCTGACTAAACTTTAAACCTTTGAAGTAGCCCTACCTGGTATGGTACCATCTTCAAATGCAGGTTTGGCTACAGGCTCAAAGCCTCCGGCAAGAAGACAGCCTTCATTCTCTCTAAAATAGATATATCCATCCAGGTCTCTTACAACTGCAAGAAAATCAAGACATTATACACAAGAACATACAAAACACATCTGTGAAACAACACCCACGTAACTGTGTGAAACGAAACTCCTGTCAGTGTCAGTCGAAATGAAACAAGGCACTTACTGAATTTGCCCAAATAAAGGACAGTCCCCCATTCTGATACTTAAAACGACAAAGAAAGAACTTTTTACATTTTAATATGAAGTCAGATATTTCATGCAGCAGTTCCTGCTGTGCAATAAGGGTACTATCCAGCAAAGTATTCACTTCCTGCTACCTTCTGCTTAGGAATGAATGCTCTGCACATATAATGAATTGAAAATCTGATTCTTTTTCAACACAACCAGATTCTTCAGTTATCAATGTTTTCTCTTCCATCCATTACCCTTATATAAATGAAGACTGTACATAAGTCAGCTTAAATTCATGCAAAATTGATGTAAATACTTCAACATACAAGTCAAAAGTCAGCACCTCCTTACCTGGTGTCATGGGATCAAGTCCTGGAATTGGTTTCGTGTGCAGGTAGTAATGCTCACAGGCATGAAGTGGGACTTTAACATAAGGCTCACTCATTTTCCCAATCTTGCGAGCCCAGAAACCTCCACAGTTAACAAAATATTGGCATTCCACTGTCCCTCTGTTTGTGCCTACAGCAACAACCTTACCATTGTGATTCAGGATCTGCTGCACAGCACAGTTCTCTATAACTTGCATGCCTGCGAACCCACAGAAACACAGAAATCAAAATGAGGAACACATCAGTGCACAACAGGCAGATTGGATAAGATCTATACCAGAGAAAGCTGGCAACTATTTACATATTTAAAACCCATAACCTCAAATGTATGCACTATCCAGTGGCACAGTGTTCATGTTAACTGTGATAGCCATGTTAAGCTTGAAAGTTGTTGCAATTTTTAATTTGTAGAAAATAAGTAAATGCAATGACATTGTGCCAGAAAAGCAGAATGTCCATAAAATCATCAATATAGGTAATATTAATTTTTAAAAAGAAAGTATTTTCAAATCCTCAGTACAACCAAAACTTCCTCTAGCAAAATCCAGATTTTCTCAAGTCTTTTTAGTGTAATAGCAAATTATTTGGTGAAACAATGATTTTTGCAATTTTCTTACCTCCCTTTCTAGCAGCAGCAATAAGTGAAAGACAGATTTGGTACGGATCTCCGACGCCATCACCAGGTATCCACAGTCCACCCTGAATATCATCTATAGCTATCAAAGGGCACAGCTTCTGTGCTTCTCCAGGTGTAACCAAATCACAATCAATGTTCCATGACCTGTGTCAAGACACAAATATCATTTAAAGTAAGAGTTGGGGGGGGGGGCTAGAAGTATGGTGCTGGCAAACCATGTCAGGTACTTCAGGCTCAAGACATAGGCTAATACAATATGGATTTTCCTTTTTCAAACTGTGGCATTATGCCTATGAGGTAGCTGATCCCCACTTCTGGCTTCAATGCTGCAATTTGCCTATAATACCTTTGTGTCTGTGGTAACAGGAGCTTTAATTCTAACCAGATGATAATTTAGAATGACATGTGGATAGCCAGAGAATAAGCCCGACTGCAGATATGCCACTGGTAGAAGCCATCACCACGAACCGATTACAGAAAAGTATAAAAAAAGTAAAGCTGTACCACTATGCAACATGGTGGTGCCTGAGGGTAGATCTAGATACCAGCCTACCGAAGCTTCATGTCAATATCATTATACCACTGCTCCATATTCATTCATTTATCACCTTGGGAATGGACAATAAGCCTGTTATTGTCCACAGTCCTATTAAGACATATGGTCACCCCACTGCAACATTAACAATATATAGCATTATAATGGAAATGTGATGACAGGGTACATAGTGGCTAGACCTGTTTTAAAGGACTATTCTGCAAAATAAAACCATCAAAAACCCTTGTAAACTGGATGGAATTCAAACGTGTGTCACAAGTGAAGATCACGAGCAATAATCACTGCACAACAGTGATAACCACAGCATTAAACTGCCTACTCACATCCACATTTCCTACAAGTCAGGAGGCTTACCTTCATGATGGTATTACACTTAATGACTTAAGATTGCTGTCTTCTGGGTTGTTGTGCCATGCAGGGCGATCTCCCTGATGATGGAGCAGCAAGGACCTCTGAAACGTCGGTAAACTTCTTCCAGGCTACATGGCGCATCAACCCAGAAGACGGCAATCTTCAGACTCACTGCCGTGAAAACCTCAAATCCTACTTAATGACTTACTTACACTGCCAGGGCCTTCATTCTCCTGAACACAGTCATTCTGTCTCTTGTCCTAGCAATACACAAACTGCCACACTGCTTCCAGCCAGTCTTCAGTCCTCTTGCATCCATGTCCTTATATAACTGAACACTGGATTTTGCTAAATTTACTTGTGGCAGAGATGGCTTGAACACGCCAACCAACCCTGACAGATGCCATGTTGTTCCACCACCACACCTGCATAACAAGCATTCTAGTATCACTAAAACACATTTTTTCTACAACAAAAAATCTAACTTACTGAAACTTGCTGTACATCACAGTAAATTCTGGTGGCTACTGGTAACATATGGCTACTTTCACACCAATAAGACTGAAACTGAAATGGGTGGTATGTCACATACCCAAATAAATAAACGTCACGAGGCGTCCTCTATTGAAGTCAGACCAGCATTCCAAAAACTGCATTCCAATCCAATGCTGCAGCAAGTCCAGAAAATCAATTGGTCCTGGTGGGACAAAGTAAACTTGCCCCTATTCTTAACTAAGCATTGTGGCAAAGAGAAAACTTCTGCCACTGTCAGGAATCAAACCCCAATCATCAAACCTGTAGCCTGTTCACTATAGTGACAGAGTTATTCTGGCTCTCACCTTAATAACAGTTTGTAATTTATATTTTCCTTCAGCCAGCAAGCCAGACAAAAAGCCTTTTCAGTTGACCATTAATACTTATTAAGAACAATTTTTCCTCCATATCTGGAGGATTACTACTCCACACACAATATGGTGGGCCACAGTGCCACCTAACAAGGACCCTAAGAACTACAAGGTATCAATAATGCCCATTAAATGTTAATCTTATACAAAAAACTTGCATAATTTCCTCCTCTTATGCCACTATTTTGAAAAAAGAGAATAAAAAATACAAAGTGCATATAACACCGTGACTAACAAGAACATTTTCATTTGCTGCTTCAAATGATCTTCAGGAAGTATTATTTATGCCACTAAATGAATTCTGAATGTACAAAACTTACACCTCACACATGGGAAAACATTATCCAGCACAACAGCTGAAGGTTAAATTATAAATCCACCATTCTACACAATCAATTTTTAATACTTCTTGTTGATGTGATATCACTGCAAGCATTATACTTATGACAGCCATATATACACTCTGAGGCCCTTTTTAATACACATGATGTTTTGCATGCCGGCTACACATACATTGCCAGGTAAATGGTTATCACTATACTGACAGATATTTCAAACTGCTTCACTTTTCATTTGGACACATAACTTTATAACCATTAGACTATCCCAATTGTAAAAACCATAGAACTATCACATATTCATGCATAAAGAATAATACATAAAAATGTTGTAAATAATAAACCTTACATGTATTTAAGACATTTCTGATGAGGTGAAATGCCTTACCTTCCTTGGTCAATAAGAACAGTCTGTGGTCCCCACCCCAATTCGGCCAGATGATATGCCACTGCTGCACCCATCACTCCACCCCCACAAACCACCACTTTAGCTTCCTTTGGCAATGGCACAGCTGATTCATCACCAACACCGTTGTCCAGTATTTTATGAGGAAATAATGCAGTTGACTGCAGTCTTGGGCCAGAAGTTAAATTGTGTCTTGAATTTAACACAGGATTACATTGTCGGCAGGTAACAGTGTTGATAAGGCTGTGAATTATCTGTCGCTGATGAAGCATCATTAATACGTTCCCAGCTGAAGCTGTAACTACACAAAATTCCTACCTGAATTATTACAGTTAATACATGAAAGAGTAAAACTTTACAATACAGTAACCAGGTATTTATGTGTCACCTGTACAACATTTTGTCATATTTACACCATTTGCCAAGAAGACATTTGTAGCAGTACTAGCAAACTGAAACCACAGACACTATTTCTTGAATACTATTTATTTGCATTAATTCAATAAATACAAATCTGGAGACAGGTTATATTAGTTTAATTTTATTGAGTTTGTTTTGTCATATATATATTGTCTAATAGAAGACTGCTTCATAAAGTTACAACAGTAGATTCACTGCCATTAACTGATGTAAATCTGAGATTACACTGACCCTGGACAACTACACACTTTTGTCATCAGCACATATTACTGTAATCATTTTTCAGAATGCTTTCCAGAGCAGCTGTCATTTCAGTTTTCACCTCATCTGAACTACAGAAGTGCTGCCCCTTCAGCCAAGATTTCATGACCCTGAAGAGGAAAACGTTTGGTTGCCAAAGATCCAGCACTGTCACCTTGGTATCTATCAGTGCTGCAATTCAACTACTGTAATAGAAACAGTAACTTCGCTTCACTTGATATTAAAAACTATGTATACTGCTGTTCTAACTGTTATTTTAATCATTGGAAGCTGAAGTTCATCTAAGAAGATTCCTGTCTTCTGGGTTGTTGCGCTGTGTAGTCTGGTTGATGTTAGCCAACGTTTCAGAGGTCATACTGCCTCCGTCATCAGGGTGCCGTCATCGCCCTGATGACAGAGGCAGTATGACCTCTGAAACGTTGGCTAACATCAACCAGACTACACAGCGCAACAACCCAGAAGACAGGAATCTTCATACTCACCGCTGTGAAAACCTCAAATCTTACGAAGTTCATATAAATCCATAAATATGGTCTGTGGGCAAAACGCAAATTCACTGACATATAAAGGTTTTACATAGAGTTACAACTACTAAGGAATACAAGGGAGAATATTACGGTAAAACATGAAGACAGTGTTAAGATATGACCTGAATTCAAATGGCTCAAAATAGG